CATACAGCAATGTTATTTATTCTTCAGAGAGAAAAATAACAAAGTCCCAAAACAAGACACAACAAAACAAAATCAAATATAAAAAAGAAACGATCAAAAAGTTGTCAAATGAAAAATGTAGTACATTATAAAAGTTATATCTGAGTTTATATAGTATAAACTCTGAGAGGTGACGTTTGACCAATGTGGTATTCTTATTTCATAACTTAAGTCACTAAACACCAAAAAAGAAATTCTTTCACACATCGGTGAGCCGACAAAAATAAATTCTCAGGGTTAAATTTTTTTTCTCTATTCTACTTTGGCAGTTTAAATAAACTAAACGTTTAGTTGTTAATGCAACTAAAAGATTTTTTTTGCTCTACCAAAGGCCTTGGAGTAGATAATGTTTCTGCAACCCCATAGGAATCTCCAATGATTTCAGAAAGATGTAAAGGAAGGAAATCCTTGGGCAGATTTATTTGGGGGAATGAAACACGAAGTGACCGGGGAAATGAAAGAAGACGAGCTGTGGGATGAAGAGAATATATCTATATACTGGGTATCCCAGTTTACTTCAAATGCCTGTTCCTACACCACACTTTTCTTTCTTTCTTTCTTTTATTTTATTGGGGGCTCATACAGCTCATCACAATCCATCCATCCATCCATTGTGTCAAGCACATTTGTACATTTGTTGTCATCATCATTCTCAAAACATTTTCTTTAACTCGAGCCCTTGGTATCAGCTCCTCATTTCCCCCCTCCCCTCCTCCCCCACCCTTCCTCTCTCACAAACTTTTGATAATTTATAAATTATTATTTTGTCATGTCTTACACTGTCCGATGTCTCCTTTTACCTACTTTTCCGTTGTCCATCCCCTAAGGAAGGGGTTATATGTAGATCCTTGTGTTTGGTTCTCTCTTTCTACCTCTCCTGGTATCGCTACTCTCATTATTGGTCCTGAGAGGTTTATCTGTCCTGAAGTCCCTGTGTTTCCAGCTCTTCTCTGTACCACTGTACATCCTCTGGTCTAGCCGGATTTGTAAGGTAGAACTGGGATCATGATAGTGGGGGAGTGGGGGAGTGGAGAAAGCATTAAAGAACTAGAGGAAAGTTCTATGTTTCATCGTTGCTACACTGCACCCTGACTGACTCATCTCTTCCCTGAGATCCTTCTGTAAGGGGATGTCCAGTTGCCTACAGATGGGCTTTCCGTCTCTACTCCACACTCCCCCTCATTCACAATGATATTTTTTTTTCTTTGATGCCTGATAACTGATCCCATCGACACTTCATAATGACACTTTATGATGGTGTGCTTCTTCCATGTGGGCTTTTTTGGTTCTCAGCTAGATGGCCACTTGTTTATAATGGGCTACTAAATACATATCAATATTGTACTGCCCATATTTTATAGCTAAATACAGCTGAAAGGAAAAACAGACTATTTAAAAGTGTTGTCTAGCAAAAGGAAAGAAAACCCCTCAAAAATCACAATTGTCCTGTTGCCTCTGACTCATCTGACCCTACACAGAAGCCCTGGTTGTGTCGTGTGCTGCACATGGGATTACCAATCACCAGATGTGCAGTTCACAATCACCAGATACGTCTAGGGTGACAGATGAGGCTTTCTGCTCCCATAAAGATTAAAAACTTCAGACACCCACAAGTGCAAACCTACTGTGCCCTACAAGGTCACCATGAGTCAGAATGGATTTGATAGCAGTGGGTTGAGTTTTCAGTTTTGAGAGTTTCCAAGGCTGTAAAATTCTTGGGAGCTAAGAGTTTCATCTTTCTCCCAAAGAGCTGGTAAGCTCACTGCCGGCTCATAGCAACCCTTTAGGATGGAGTAGAGATGCCCCCGTGAGCGTC